TTGGGGGGAAATCATGCTTCCCAGGATGGCTGAGCGGGCGAGGCTCCCGGAGAACAGCCGGCTGTTTGCTCTCTCAGCCACCTCGAGGGGCCCTGGGTGTTCACGTAGGACGGTGTTTTGTTCTGTTGTGGGAGACAATTTTAATTGGTTCGTGGACAGATTTAAAAATTTTCATAGCTGTGCTGATTTGAGTGGGTTTTGAAAAACCATCCTTACATCCCCAAACCCGTGATTTCATGGCCCTTATTGCTTTGGGATGAAACCAGGTAAAAGTAGCTAATGAGTTTCCAGACGTGGTCAGAAACGAGCAGTGCAGATGCTGTGCAGACCTGGGAGGCTTCATGCAGGGCCGCAGCGGGCTTTGGGGGTCCGGCCTGGTGTGGGAGGATGTCGGCCGAGGGAAGGCTCCCTGGGCTCACAGGGGAGCGGTCACCCTCCCTGCCTCCCCCCTCCCTGCCGGCCCCCCCTGCCGAGCTGCCAGCAGCCTGATTGCTCTGTCCTTTGGCTGTTTACGCAGTTGAGCACAGCTGTAAACTCCGTGAGGGTAGGGCGGTCTGGGTTGTCCTTGGCCGGTGCCCAGTGGTGTTGCATGCACGTGTGGCTGTGAAGTGTTTTAGCAGATGTGGGTGCCGATGGACGGAGACAGCCCGGAGGAAGGGCAGGGCTTCCCCCTGATTTATTCCCGTCTCCTCCGAGCAGAGGGAGCGAGGAGGAGGGGAGTTCTTGGGCCAGGGAGCCCTACTCCCCTCCCCCCAAATAAACGTGGAATGTGCCGTGGCAGCCGGCCAGCTTTGTGCGCTGGGGTATGGGGACAAAGGTTTAGTCCCGACCAGCTTTCCACGTTAGGTCCCCAGACTCCCAGGGCCCGTGGTGGCAGCTCACAGGACCCGCCTGGCCGCCCCGGGCTCGACGTCAGCTCTGAATGCGAGGTGGAGGGGCTCTGATTTATTCCTTCCGTCCGTGCCTACGCATGGGAATGGAAACCTTCTCAGGCTGCGGAGGCCGTCTCGGGGCCGAGGGCTCACAGGCTCCCCCCGCGTTTGCGCAGCGTTCAGTGAGGACCTGTGCGCTGGAGAGGAGTGGGCGCCCCCTCTCCCGCCCGCCCCTCCCGCCCTCTCCTCCCAGACATGAGGCACCGCGGTGTCCGCGCAGGGGCTGGTTTGCTGCTGGGAAGGGAAGGGTTCCCGCCCAGGCTAGCTGTTCACGGGGCAGCACTCGGGTTACATGTGGTGCCTTCATGCTTGAAGGTTTGCTTAAGCGTTTGCGCTGGCTGTTGAACACTTTTAGGAGCTGGGAGTTCAGTCAGCGTGTACCTTGTAGATCTCTTTAAAAAAGCTTTAGTGAATGGACAGATGGCAAAAGCCCCTGTTGTAAGCACAGGAACAGAATTGTGCAACCAGTGCCCCCGTCTGATGTTTGGACGTGTCCATCACCCCGAAAGAGACCTTGTGTGGCCACTGCCACCCCTGCCCCAGCCTGGCAGCCACAGCCTGCGGACTTGCCTTTCTGGGCATCTTGTGCAGTGACCGCACACCGTGTGCCTTTGTGTCCGACTTCTCCCGCTCGGCCCGGCCGCCGTCGGCACGGGTCCGACCTGACCGCGCCGAGGGCTGAAAGCACCAGCTCTGAGTCAGAGAGTCAGAGCCGGACTCGCCACTTCACAGCTTAGTCATCACATGACCTGTGTTTGCAAACCAGTGTGGAGGCCTGTGCCTGGCACGTAGTGGCGCCGGGTAAACATTTGCAGAGCAGCGGCGCTCAGAGGCAGCAGCCCTGCCTGATGCTGAGCAGCCACACGCTCTCCCGGCGATGGTTACGGACGGCACTGCCCTCCGGGAGCAGGGGCCTCCCGGCCTCCGTCCCTGTCCCACCGCAGGCTCGGCCCGAGCTCACGTCTGCGAGGCAGCGCCCTCAGCGCAGTGTGTGGGTGAGACCCTGTCCCTGGGGCAGGAGCACATGGAGGCATGCCCAGGACCCTGAGACAGTCCGGAGAGGGGTGCAGGGCCGTCTCCCTAGAGGCTCCCAGGCACAGCGATTCCCATGCAACTTGGGGGGGCCTTTGGCCCGGGCTCCCCAGCTCTTCTGATTGAAAGGCACGGCTGCCCGCCCGCCCTTTGCCTCACTCGCCTGGCTGCTGCCGAGGCCGGGGGTGTCGGGTGACGCTGGGTTCAGGGTGCACTGGCTGAAGCCGAGTGTGACCCTGAAGGGGGTGGGGGTGCTGGCGAGTCCCTGGGGTCGTGGCGAGTCAGAGAGTCCAGACACTGAGGGTGCAGAGCAGGGACAGGAAAGCATTAAACCCAGCAACTGGCTCCTGAGGCTTCAGAAGGGGGAACCTGGGTTGAAGCTGAATGCTCACAATTTAAGTTTGCACCTTCCCAACCGTTTGTGATAGGGCACCCTTCCCAAGCTCACGGCCAAATCCAACTGCCGCTACGAGGTCGAGTGGGTCACCGAGTACGCCTGCCACCGGGATTACCTGGAGAGCAGCAACTGCTCCCTGAGCAGCGCGCAGCACGACATCGCCATCGACCTGTGGCCGCTGCGGCAGAGCCGAGGTGAGCGGCCCATCCTTGGTGCCGGCGGCCCGCGCCCTTCCCGCGGGCGGTGCAGAGCCCACGCCGCGTGAGCAGCGCCGTGACTTCCAGCAGCTGCGGCTGCGGCGGGGCCTCTGCTCATTTGCTCCCTTCTCTCCAGGTCGTTACTACACTGCCGACGGGAAGGAGTACATTTTTTATTTGAATATCTGCGGAGAAATTGAAGCAACCCCAAAGGCCTGTAATGAGAAACAGGCTGCGGTTTGCCAAGGGAAGAAGCCTGATTTCACTCAAGTCAAAGTGGCAGGAAAATTCCAGAGCCAGACTCTCCGGTGTGTAAACAGCCTTCCCGCGCTTTTCGAGCGCATTGTGTCTGTTCTTGTTAAACTTACCCGACTTCCCGTGGCCCCTTCCTCCTCCGTCCCCCGCAAAGCCCAGGAGCCGGGAGGACGGCGTCCCTCCCTCCGACCTGCCTGGGACGTGGGGCCTTGGTCACTGGGCACCGGGCTGCTCTTCCTGGCTGGACAATGAGATGGCTCCTGTTAAATCTGTTTGCTTTACAAGCCATTGTTTGGAAGGAGCCACACTGTAGGAAACTTACTTAATTAGTTTACAGTTGAAGCAGCTTTTGTACTTAAAAATTTATGTTTCCTAGCTTCCCGTTGTCTCCGGCACTTGGAGAATCTGAAATGCCGTTAGCATAACGTAAAGGTTTTAAACAACTAAGAAAACACACCCAGCCCAATTCTCGTGGCCCCTGACTTAGTGGTCATCGTTACTGAGCGAGAGGGGATGCCGTTCCCTGAGAATGCGCATCGTCCGGGGCCCGCAGGTAAGGCCGCGCCGATGGCGGTGGCCGCAGCACCATGCGCTTCACGGCCATTGTTTGTTTTGTACAAAATCCAAGGAGGAGAGCGGAGGAGTGTGCAGGCTCACAGCAAACCTTCGGCGCTGTCCTGCCGCCGTTATGACTTTGAAGTAAGAGGACGATAAGCCCGTCCATTTGGAACTCATTTCCTCTCGCCGTTTTCCCCAGCTGGCGAGAGCGTGCTGTTCTGTGTCAGCACCGATTTGTCGGGGGTATGCGAAGGGCTTAATGGAGAAAAGTTTAAAAATGCAGGTTCCTCTCGGGGTTCTGCTAAACATGCGTGCATGTGTGTTTCCAAAATCCAGGTACTCGGACGGAGACCTCACCCTCATCTACTCGGGAGGCGACGAGTGCAGCTCGGGCTTCCAGCGCATGAGCGTCATAAACTTCGAGTGCAACGAGACCGCGGGTGAGTGTGCCGCGGGTGAGCGTGCCCGCGGGTGAGCGTGCCCGCAGGTGAGCGTGCCCGAGGGTGAGCGTGCCCGCGGGTGAGTGTGCCCGAGGGTGAGCGCTGGCGTCTGTGTCAGGCGTGGGGCACGGGTGTTCCTGGGAGTGGAGCACAGAATGGGTCAGTCAGGCGTCCTCCAAGCATGGCACCTCCAGCCCCCAGCCAGCGACACACATCCTGTTTCCACTTTCCTCCCCTCTGTTTGCTTTGGGAGTGGGCCCAGCGCCGGGCCTGCTGGGACGGAGGCTGTGCCTTGGGTTCCATTCTCAACAGCATGGGTACGGATTCTGCAAGGTGGGTCTGCTCACCGACCCCTTTTCTTGTACAAACTGAGGTTCAAAGGGACCCTTTAAGATGGTGGCCCTGTGATAGCGGCTGGATTTTGGGATCCCAGGAGGTTGCAGAGCAAGTTTGTTTTTTCTGAGCGATTAGGAGACACGTCCTTTTTAAAAATATTTTTATTGACTTCAGAGAGGAAGGGAGAGGGGGGGAGAGAGAGAGAGAGAGAGAGAGAGAGAAACATCAATGAGGAGAGAGAATCATGGATCGGCTGCCTCCTGTGCCCTCCCTGACTGGGGATCGAGCCCGAAACCTGGGCCTGTGCTCTGACCGGGAATCGAACCCTGACCTCCTGGTTCACAGGGTGATGCTCAACCACTGAGCCCCGCCGCCGGGCGGGAGAAGCTTCCTTGAGGTCGCACTCTGCATCTGCAGAGGTGACGGGATCCGTTGTCATCAGGGAGCGGGCCTGTCTGTCGACCTTCCAGCTGTGACCCCTGGCCCCGCCTCTGCACCTAGTGCTGGTTCTGGAGCCGCCTGGCCCACGAGGCCGCCAGCCCAGGTCCTCCCGGCTCCGCACACTGTTTGTTTTGTGTGTTTGTGGCAGCGTCGGCCATTTGGTCATGGGCAGCTTTTGACATGGTTCGCTGCAGAGCCTGGGAGAGGCAGCTGTGCGTGACGGGAGTGGGGCCCTGAGGGCCGAGCCTCGGACGTGAAGGAGCTGGGAAGAGGCGGTGAGCAGGACTGAGCTCCCATAAACTGCCCAGCGGGCCCCGAAGGGGGCCTCGTGCAGTGAGGGGGGCCTCGCCCACACGCCCTTCCTGCTGCTCCGCTGCCCTTGATCCGCTCCCCCTCATGCCCGGCAGCCGCTCCCCCACGCACTCTCGCTGACGGGAGCCAGCCGGCCGGCCGGCCCTGTAAACTCGCACGTTCTCCGTGAGTCACCGGCACACGCTGTGTTCGCACTTGCTTGTTTGACCTTGTGAGACCGATGGACACACAGGGCCCGCGAGGCGGTTCCTGGCCAGGAGCCGAGGGAGAAGGGAACTGGCCAGTGTCGTGCAGGGTGACTCGGGTGGCCCTGAGTGAGTGCCGTCACCCAGGACCTCACCAGGAGGGAGGCCCCGAGGCCAGATCTGGAGTCTGGGGAGCCTCGGGATCGCGGCAGTGAGGGAAAGAGGAGGCCCTGTTTGGGGGAGCCCGCAGGAGGACGCGAATGAGGCAGAGCAGGGTGGCTGTGGCGCCGTCTGTGGCAGAGGGAACAGCTCTCCCAGACCATGCATTTGGGTCGCGGTGAGCAGCTCCAGGGTGTATATTTAGACTGTGGCTAGAGATGACCCTAGAAGGGAGAGTGGGCAGCCCCGGGACGAGTGCCTACGGCCTGTGGAGGAGATGACGTGATCCAGAAGTGAGTGTGAGGCCCGGGGGCTCTCGGCAGGTGGGGACGTGGCTCGACTGGGTGTGGCCTTGGCCGGGCTGCGCCTCCCATCTGGCTCGAACGCCCTCTGCCCTCCCAGGTCCTCTGTCTCCATCGGCCTCCCCTCCAGGTTCACAGGAGACCCTCTCTGCGGCACCCTGCCCCTCTGTCCCTGTCCGTGGGAGTGCAGCCTGCTGCTTAGCTGTGTCCCGGATTTTCTGCACTCGGCGTGCCGGCCCCTTCCCCAGACGGGCCTCCCACCCCCCCGCTGGCCGCTGCTCGGCTGTGGGTGACTCCTGTGGTCCCAGCCTCCCTCCCTTGCGATTACCTCTTGGCCTGGTTCTGGGCGTTTTATAAATGACTTGGCCGAGGTCTTTGGGAGTGCGCTGATCTCATCCGGGCACGCTGGGAACATGGGATCGTGATCCAGAGAGATCCCGGCGGAGGAGGCGGAGGCGGAGAAGGGCACACAGATGGGGGCTCACGGGAAGGGGTGTGGCCGTTGTGCACATGAGCCGAGGCGTGAAAAAAAGACTGCAGGCCCTTTTCTCTTCCCTCCTTCACTTCTTTATTAGAAAAAGTTTTCACAAGAAAGAACATCACAAGAATGAGAGTTCATTTCCCCGCCACGCAGGTTTAGCGGTCACTCATGTTTTGCCAAATTTGCTTCATAGAAACCACACGTCGCTGATGGAGCATAGCACTACACTCCACCTTCGACCTGGAGATCAGCAGGGGGCCCTAAGCCAGAAACTCGGTGTTTCCTGGCCATTTTCATGGTGATGGGGACCAGGAGGTCGACGGGGAGATGTTGGATGTTCTGGGGCGGGGGTCTTGAGCTCAGGCCGGCCTTGGGGTATAAAATATGTAAGGCTGCCCCCACCTCTGCCGCCCAGGGCCTCCACTCCCGGCACACCCGGTACACGCTGTAACACTATTTCATTATTACCGTGTCCACATCTAGGTTGGGAGGTTTGAGAGGAAGTCCTCTGGTGGGTTCCGTGCTTACTGGATAAATGTAATCATAGGGTTTTGCATGTGAACGGGTGTTAATTGGCTGTGTGTATAACGTGGCTTATAATTTAACTTGGATCTCCACGAATTATTTATGCTTATGAATCTATGGCCCATGCATACTCTTCATACATTTATTCTTTTTGCCGTAATATATTTTGAGCCATTTGTTTCAATAACTTACGTCTAGTTTGCTGTAATAAGATACCCTATTTTTGTCAAATAAGGGCCTAGATCATTTTTTGGGAGGAGTAATAGGAGAGGCTAGTAAGAAATCTAAAAATTTAAGCAACTCATTACCTTAAAGGTTTATTTTCTTTAGTTTACGCCATTGCAGGGGCTGGAGGCGGGGCCCTGCTCCAGGGGCTCACTCAGGGGCCTTGTGCCCTCCGTGCTGTGTTGCTGCCTGCCGTCTACAGACGTGGCCTCCTCGGACCCTGCAGGATGGGAGGGAGCAGCAGTTCTTGTTTAGTGGCACGGGATGCAGCTTAGCTGTGACAGAGGAAAGGAGTCCCGCTTGGTGAGGAGCAGCACTGCCCATCGCAGAGGGACGGGGAGAGGGGGCTGCGGCCCCACAGCCAGGGAGCAGCACCTGGTTCCCCTGGAGCAACCACTCTCCCTCAGCTGGTCGTGGAGTCCATGCTGGGAGCATGTGCAGGCCGTGCTGGGAGGGGGCCACGGGGGCGGGAGCGCCAGGACCGTGGATTGACAGAGGGAAACACTCATACAGATGCTCTGGTGGGGGGGACCCGCCGCCCGGGAGAGTGGTCCCGACGGCAAAGCCCACTGCCCTTCACGGCAACAGAAGAGGCTCGGGGGAGGGGCGTGGGGCTGATTCGCCTCCTAAAGCCGTTTGAGGAGTTAAATAAGACGGGCAAGGTGCACCCCACTGCTTATCCATGGACTCCCACAGATCCTCAGCGCGTTTCAGATGCAGAACCCCCTGCTCGGAATGGGGGGGTGCTGGGACCCTCGTGGTCGGATGGAGTCGTGCGTCAGCTAATCTGGTGCAGGACGCACGCAGCAGTTCGAGGAAACTGTTTTCCAAGTAGAGACATGAGTCACCGGCCGTGACGCGGGGGCGGGAGTGAGCGGGCGGCTGGCTCCTGAGCAGCGGCCCCGCAGCAGGCGGTGCGTGTTGTCAGCAAGGAGGGGGGCAGCGCTGCTCCTTCGAGAGAAGGGCTCTGACGTTAGAAAGGGAGCCGTGGCCGCAGCGTTGCCTGTGCTCACGAGCCTGGCGCGGGGGCCAGCCCGTCTGGATTGGATCCTGGCTCCTCGAGTTCTAGCTGTGAAACCATCGGCAAATTATGTAGCCGCCCCGAATCTAGTAAACGGGCTAGAATTGTGCCTGTGCCATGGGGTTCTGAGGATTGCATATGCCGGTTTTTATAAAGTGCTTAAATCAGAGCCTGTTCCTACAGCCGGCCCCACGGCACACGCAGACGCCTGCCCAGTGCCTGGCTCAGGTTGTGCGCAGTGCAGGGGAGCTGCTGGTAGCATGACTGTGCTGTTTGTAATATTAAATGCTTAATAGAAACTGCAGTGGAAACCTCATTTTCCCTTGGTACAGAAATCATTTCCCTTTCCTGGAGAACATTGCGCACTGTGGGGCACCACGCCGCAGAGAGGCGGAGCTGTAGGGGGGGAGGATTGCTAAACCGGCAGGGGAGGGAGACAGCCTGGTGCCAGCGCCCACCAGCGCGGAGGGGCCGGGGGAGAGGGTCAGCACAGCTCATCGACCCCCGGCTGGCTCCATGGACCGGGGGCGACCTGGGAGGAGCTGGCTTCCTGGGCAGAGCTGAGCTGTGGGGCTCCTCGTGGGGAAACTGGGGCTCCCTGATGGGGTGGTCAGCAGACTGCAGATGTGAGCAGGGTGTGGGAGACACGTACTCATGCGGTCCCCAGAATGCAGGGTGCTGGCGCCACCTGGAGGCCAGCCTGCAGCTTTGCGAGGTGACGCCCACAGCTGCTGCAGTGGGGGGACTGTAGGAAGGGTCCCTCTTCTGCTTTCAGCCCCAGGGAACTTGTCTTGCCCACAGCGACATCACTGAGCCCGGGGCACTCCTGGGACGAGCTCTGGCCACTGCCTCCTGTCCGTGGGTCTGGTCTGGCCCAGCAGCTGGCGGAGCTGAGCTGACCGCAGGCCTCATTAGCACCCTTTCAGGGCCCCATCCAGCGTGTGTAAACAGCCTGTGTCCTACCAAGATGAAAGGGGTGCAGGCTGCTCTGAGGGTTGGGGTTTGCTCTAATCCCAGCCCTCTGACCCCGGGCTTTGGGGCTGTAGTTCGTTTATGTTCAGCTGCGTCTGGGTTGCTGGTTGTTGGTGTCTTCCCTGTTTCTCCCCTCGCTCCTTTGATATCCCTGGGTTTAGGCATATAGTGGAGTGTGTGTTTGTTTTTAAATATATTTTTATTGTTGATAGGTTACAGATATCTCCCATTTCCCCCCTTCCTCTCCTCCTCCCAGCCCCTCCCCCTGCCCCCCAGGCCTTCACTACCCTATTGCCGGTCCATGGGCTGTGCATATAAGTGTAAAAGTTCTTTGGTTTATCTCTTCTCGTCCCCCAACCCCACATCGAGGTCTGTCAGTCTGCTCCATGCCTCCCTGCTTCGGGTCTTATTTTGTTGGTCAATTCATTGTGTTCATTAGATTAGTGGAGTGTTTTATTTTTCCTTTTGCAATTGCACAGGTAACGGCGGGAGAGGCACTCCTGTGTTCACCGGGGAGGTGGACTGCACCTACTTCTTCACGTGGGACACGAAGCACGCGTGTGTGAAAGAGAAGGAGGACCTCCTGTGTGGCCTCACCGACGGGAAGCGGCGGTACGACCTGTCCGCTCTGGCCCGGCACGCAGGTAGGCCCGTATGCCCGCCGGTAGGCCCCTGTACCCGCAGGGAGGCCCCTATGCCTGCCGGTAGGTCCCTGTACCTGCAGGGAGGGCCCTGTACCCACAGGGAGGGCCCTGTACCCGCAGGGAGGCCCCTGTACCCGCCGGTAGGCTCCTATGCCTGCCGGTAGGCCCCTGTACCCGCAGGTAGGCCCCTATGCCCGCCGGTAGGCTTCTATGCCTGCCGGTAGGCCCCTGTACCCGCAGGGAGGCCCCTGTACCCGCAGGTAGGCCCCTATGCCCGCCGGTAGGCCCCTGTACCCGCAGGGAGGGCCCTATGCCCGCCGGTAGGCCCCTGTACCTGCAGGGAGGGCCCTGTATCCACAGGGAGGGCCCTGTACCCGCAGGGAGGCCCCCGTGCCCACGTGGGTCTCAGGTGCGTGCGTGTTGGGGGCAAATTTTCTTGTCTCCTTCCCCACGAACATTTGGAAAGGCTGTCCCTACTTCCGCTGCCAGCTCACCAGCGTGGCCTTTCCCTCCTCACGTAGCAGTATGAGTGATGAGAAATGGCACTGACTCATTGCAGGATGTCTGAGTTTGAGGTCGGCATCACTGTTTTCCACTTGGGGTACTTTGAGCTAATCTTGCCATGTTTTAGTAAAAACTGCCAAGTGCCTACTGTGTGCCAGGCCTTGTGCTTTGTGATTAGAAATTTTTTAAAAAAAACCTTACCCAAGGATATTTTTTCCATTGATTATTAGAGAGAGCGGGAGGGAGGGTGGGAGGGGGAACAAAAGAGCGAGAGAGAGAAACATCGATGTGAGAGAGCCACATCGATTGGCTGCCTCCCACATGTTCCCTGACTGGGACCAGGGATTGAACCTGCAACCCAGGTACATGCCCTTGGCAGGTAATTGAACCCAGGACCCTTTGGTGCAAGGGCCAACACTCTAACCACAGAGCAACACTGGCCAGGGCGAAACTTTTTTTTTCTTTTCTTAATTTAAACTCTTGTTGCTAAGAGAGTAGATCTTCCAAGTTCTCATCGTGTTTGTAACTGTGGTGAAGGACGTTCACTAAGCTTATTGTCATCATTTCGCAGCTCATATTGTGCACGTAAAGCTAATACAACGTTACATGTCAATTTTATCTCAGTGAAAAAATTCAAAAAATAAATGGAGAGTCGGCTGGGTTCCCACTGAACAGGTGGCTGCCAGGCTCAGAGGGTGGGGGTTTGGGTGAAGGTGGGGGGCTGGGTGGGCTCATGCCTTGGGCCTCAGGCTTTCCGTTGGGCTCACTGCTCTTTTCCCATCTCTGCGGTGGATCAGGCTCCTCTCCCACCTCCGGGTCTTTGGTGAGGCCGAAAGGAGGAAGGGCGTGGGAGCCCTTGGGACACAGCCTCGCGAGCCTCGTGGTGAGAGCCTCGGGGTGGTGTGGGGCGCGGTTCCTGGCCGAGGCAGACATGTGGCTGCACAGATGCTTGCTGAGCGTCTGTCACCTGTGGCAGGCCTGACACGCGTGCCCCGTGCCTGTGGGCCTGAGAGCCGAGCAGGCAGAGAGCCCGGATGGCGAGGATGGGGCTTCACGGGGAAACCGCGTCTGGCTGGGACGTTTCTGGCTTTGTCTGGTTTTCAGCAGCGCGGGAATTGGGTGTCTGCAGAAGCAGGCTGCGTCTGTGAGGTGGAGATGGTCCCTGGGACGGGGGAGGGAGTTGCCTGGAGTCACATAATGACCAGCTGTGACGGGGACTCGAGTTTGGAGTCCCGCCTGCTTGGGAACGTGGCATGGTAAGAGAAGGTTCCTCTCGCGTGAGCGCGGGCCTGCGGAAGTAGGTGGATTGTGCTCTGTGCCCCAGGGCCCTTGCACTGCTGGGGACGTGGCCAGGTCAGCTCTGGTGCGTGTGTGCTCGTGGGGAGGTTGGCTTCCTGTGAAGCGGAACGAGCTCTCCGCTCCGATCACAGCCTGGAGCGAGGACTGGTGTGGCCACGTCCGGCCATGTTGCTGACCCTCTCCGGGGGGTTTTCTCACAGTCACATGGGTGTGATAGGAGGTCCCTTTATTCAGCCTTTTTAGAAAACATCACTGGGCACCACACTAGGGTCTGCACTCGGGGGCCCGGGGTCTGCCCTGCTCTGGGTCCCCAGGAACCTGGACTTTCTCAGCTCCTGCACCCACTGGCTCCCGGGACCTGTGAGCTGAGCTGACCCCCTCCCTGTCACTTAAACGTCCTCCTGCTCTACAGCCTTCGCCCACCGAGACCCCGGCTTTCGGAGGGGCTGTCCTGCTCGCTCGCTCGCTCGGTCATCGTGGGTTCTTCCAGGGTAGTGACGTGGGTGTCACTCCCCGACGCGATCCTTCGACACCCGGGCTCCGGGCGCGAGAGGAGCCTGTGCCGTCTCACCCTCTTCAACAGCCCGGTTCCTTCCCGGCTGTTCCTGCTGGTCTGTCTGCCTCCCGGGCTGGCCTCCTCGCGGGAGGACCCTTTGCTCTCAGCACTGAGCAGGTGCGCCCCCTGCTGCTGAGGATCTTCAGTTCCTGTGTGGTGTTTCTGTGTCGTGTGTGACGGCCTCGTGAGCTGTTGGAGTTCGGGGACCACGCGTGTCCCGTGTGCCTTCTCGGTGGTTGACGGAGGGGCCGGCCTGGTGCTGCCCGGGCCCGAGCGGGGCTGGCGTCCGGACTTGGTTTCGGTTTCTGATTTCATACTTGGGAGAATCTCACTGTTTAATGGTCTGTCCCCGTACCCCTGCTCCCGGGGAGGTGTGGGGCGCGGTTTACGCTTTATTTCTGTCACGTTAAACGAGCTCGGGGCGTGGCTGTGCCTGCCGCCCGCCTGCCCGGAGCGG